TATATATATATATATATATATATATATATATATATATATAGATGAACTGATAAGTGTTTCACTGTCTTCATTTTATTGCAGAGCCGAAGCGATACAGCTATTATTTGTTCCTTTTCTGCGATCAAATCTGTTATATCAAAATCTTGGTGTTGCTATTGTTTTGAACGAATGGGCTGCTGTATATAGGGACTCCTTAAACAAGTATGTTTTGTTGTCGTATTCCGTTATTGACGCAAATATGTAGGGTTGGAATAAACCGTTAAATAATATAGCAGCTGGGTTTATGAACCCATCCCATAAGTGTTCCTCAAGTCGTGAATCTTAGAGCTGTTCAAATTGACGCGCCCGTCACCGTTCTTCAGATTTGTGACGCATTTCTCAAGGCACCAGCAAAGAACTACGATGAGCTCACGTCTGCTGTTAACCATCTTACAATGGTTTGGTCATATGCGTTGCTACCGTTTTCGTTTCCTTCCGTTTTTTTTTTGTCGGATTTAGTGGTTTACTTAGTATGCTGTGCTGGGATGCCTTCTTAGCTTTAACCTTTACTGTGGTTGTTTTAGGATTGTAAAGAATTCGTTGACTACTGCGTTTCTCGTGGGGTCGACAGGAATAAGCTAAACTTGGGAGAGTCAGTTTCTGTAGAGGAAATCAGCAGGTGAGTTTTAAATTATTTAGAAACACTCCTTTCAGAATATCTTATGTGTTCAGGATGGCGTTCGATCAGTGTCTTGTCCAGTTAGCAGATCCTAATACTATCGAGTCGCTCACCACTCGTTACAGCGCTTTAGCAGATTCGATTCAGTTCACAAAGCTAGCGGTGAAGACAAATACGACGTGAGTTTTTTATTTTTCTTTCCTATTACACTTTTCTACCACCTACCATTGCATTTTCTACAAACGTTCATCGTTGTCTTGCAGAAGGGTTACTGCCTTTTTGGCATCGGCATTGTTTTACTTTGGTTTTGCTCCCGAGAAACTTACTCCGATGGTGCGTCCGCTCGTCGAATGCATGCAGAATGAACCAAATTCTACTGTCTCGGCCGAGGTGGGTTTTCCATGTAGTATTCTACTGTATAGGGCGCATGGGACGCAGTGGTCGGAGGCTGGCTCCCTGCAACACACAAGTGGAATCGATCCCCGCTCCCCTAGCCCACCAAGCCTTCCATTCCTCCAAAGTCAGCAAATTGGTGCCAGACTTGTGTGGGAGGATAGCAGGACTGGCTCGATACATCGGTGGCCCACCGCGAGTATTGTAAAGGCTAGATATGCATTCAATCACCACCAATGGATGCTTAATGAAGTCGAATGCAAGGCGCTACCCTTAGGGATTGATCAACAACGAGAGCTTTATTCTACTATACATACTTTGCAAATCCTTGTATGCCGGTTTAGAGTTTTATCTACTTTAGGTCTTTCGTGGATCTATTGCTTTAATGATTGCCTATAGCATGCCAAGGACTCCAAAACCGTACATCAAGGTATCATTAGACTGTTAGCAAAGGATTTTTCAAATGTTTCTATTCATATACGCTATCTGTCCATTTTGCTTCAAAATGTGCATTATAAGGATCGCGCCATAGGCCCGTTTTAGTGCAGTAGTCTTCGTAAATCCAGGTGATTGCTCGGGCAATGGATATGTTTTCTGGGTGCTCGATTCGCGTACCCAAACCGAATGACTGGTATGATTTAGAAAGCACTCATCGTTATTAAATCTGAACTGTTTTAATTGCTTTTGCAGGCTTAGAAAGGACGACGAACGCATCATTCTTAGCCTACATCGAAATGATCCTGAGAAGAACGTACCTTCGCCTCAAAGCTCTAACGCGGAACTGATGTTTTTCGTGAGCATTATTCTAGATAGTAACGCTACTATTTCAAATCAAATGCACATTTTTTCTCCTAGATATGCTCTTCGTTTTCTGTTGACCAACTGCCAGAATTTTATCAGCAGTTTGCATTAGATCAGTGCGATAATGAAGAGGTTACTTGTTTGAAATTATTTTTAGTTTTCGTTCAAATTTTATATCGCAATCAAATTTATTACAACCATAGACGCTTTTTTTGTTTTTAATTTGCTGTTCGCTTTTTTTTGGAAGGGGGTAGAGCAGTAATTCGTGATGCCGTCCCTCATTAAACAAAAGCGCTATTCCGAGCCCTACCAAACGCTGTACTCCAATTCACGTTGGGGCGCCTTAACCCGATTCGACCAGCGTTCTACGACATTTATAAAAAATATGAAATCCTCTAGCAGCAGCCTTAGAAACACAGGAAATGTTCGAAAACCATTGTGCACGATGAATATGAGGGAAAATAAACGACTCCTTGGAGTACTGAGATCCACACGATGTGAAGACAGGTTATGTGAAATAAAAGAAAGCATTTGCTTTTTTTTGTCTTATAATGTAAATAACCATCATTATTATTTTTATCGTGGCATCAATTATCGTTAGCAGTTACTAGTTAATTTTTTTCTACTATTATTCCTCTTATCTTATGTAATATCGGTCATACTTAGAGACTTGGGCGACCCATCCTACTAGTTGTGCTGGTCTTAGCATAATTTCCATTTCTTACGAGTTTTGCTGGTTTTGCCGTTGTGCTCCGAAGGGTCAGCCTAGCTAAAGTTTGCCCCAAGTCGTCACCACCACAGGCAGTCACCGTCCTCGTGGATCAGACGAAGATTTGCCACCATACTACTAGGTTGTTACCAAAACGGTGGTTGAGCCTGGTATTGGTTTATTCTTTGCTGGGCTTTCTGATGGAAACGCCAGACTCCATTACATCGCGGGAGACCCTGCTGAAGGGATGAACCACCCCGCTGAACATTGCTACTTGACATCCAGGAACACTTCCTAGCTACGATGAGGCGGTAAACCGTTGTAAGGACTATCGGTTATATTACCGTTTATTTACCCCTTTCTATCACCTTTATTTATCGTAAATAACCTTTATTGTTCGAAGGTGCTGTTGTCTCGCCTTGCGTTGCACGATTCTATGTGGTCAAGAGTAGGATCGATGCTATCTGATTCTTCGACGTTATCCATATTACAACTCTTGAAAAGTTCGAATCCAGCGCTAAGGTTACAAAATATTCGTTTTTTTTTCAAACTAGTACTTGGCACCAATACTGTGTTGTTTGTTCGCTTCGTGTCCTATTATTGTGTTATGATAAACTTGAAAGGTTTTAAAAACTACCACACCAATGGTAGACTTAGTATGTGAGAAATATAGCCGAGTATGGATATAAATGCTTGCTGTTATAATCAGTTTAACCTAACCCTGGAGCTTTTATCTCAAATAGTAGCGCTATCAGATATTTACATTATAGATTTGCTGGATCTAAAGCTGTGGAGACGTTTGCCCGTTCACGTCTTGGTGATACGATTTCCCGGATGTTTGACCCTTTGTCGTCCATGCTTTCTAACATTTCTGATGATAATGAAAGAAGGGGTGCTATTGAAGCAATGCTGAGGTAATGTTTGCCAGTTATGATTAAAGCTACTGCTATCGGAACACCTTCTAGCAAGTAACCGCTTTTGCAGATTGTCGTCCATGAATTCTGTCCTGAATGGTGTTGTTTCATTGCTGGCTCCTCTCGTATTTGTTCGTATGACGGACAAGTTGGAAGAGGTTCGTGTAGCAGCTGGAGAAGCATTTCGCAATATGGTCCCACTATTAGCTCTGGAGGTTTGTGTTGACGGTTTATTTCTTAGCTCGTCAAAGTAAGTTTAGATGTCTTAACTGGTTCTTCCGACTTTAATGTAGCTGCTTCAATATTCACAGGTTTTGATGCAGACATGGTCAAAAATAGTTTACTTTCTTGGTTTTGAACAAACGCCTCCAATCTTGTAGTGAGCAACATATCTGAGGTTGATTTCTTGGCGACTACTGGTAATTTTTGGATTATTGGAGTGCTTAAGGTGTTGAGGATTTGTTCTTTCTTCTGTACTTTTTTTGTTACATGACCCGACATTACACGTTTCACACGAAGCGGATCTCAGTACTTCTTGTATTCGGTTCTTTTCCTCGCATACACAGTCCACGAAGACATCCCAACATTTTTTGCGTATGACTTCGGTTGCCGCTTGAGGATTTCTCCGTCATTGTCACGAATATCACTGTGTGGTAGTCGGATTGACGCTCCCTGGAATCCTGGGATACCAATGTTGAGGCGTTCCGGCGTAACTTGGAGGACATCAGCTTAATTTTAACTTGTTATTTACTGCCTACTCTTTTTAACGATAGCGTATACAGTAAGCATGCTGATCGCAAAAGATCGATGGAACTAGCTGAGAGACAGACGAAACGAAGGACTTGCGTGATGTGGTGGTGAACGCGCCACTCCCCGGAAAGGACAATAGCGCGTTCGTTCCCCACCGCATGCACCTGCGGTCTGGAACGTTGCAAATATCTCAACATCATTGACATCAGCTTAATTTCAACTAGTTTTATATCAGTTTTCACACCCTGTTAGGATGAGAGGATTGCTTAACTCAGGGTCGTGTCGTACAAGAGCCTGAGTCGATTGCGCGATCCACATAATGAACGGCTCTTTATGTTTTAATTCTGTTGGGCGTCAAAATTTTCAACAAATTGTATATGAAACTTGATCTTTTTTCTAAAAATTCGAAATAGTAGTCATCAACAGTACGCTGTATAATACTATCGCATCACTCTCAGCAAATTCTCGCTTGTTAGATTGTCTGATTATTTGAGATACGAGCTTCGACATAAATATCTATAAATAATTATTTCTATGCTCCATAGAATCGTAATTTTATTGTTCCACTCAGAAAACTTGTTTCTGATTAGCCATTACCTGTGAATCCTTATCACATTTGCTTTAATTAATAAAGTTAAAATGAGCTGAAATATATTGGTTTAAGATAAAAAGTAGCCGTTATTCTCACAATGTATGAATGAAAATCAATCACCACATGTTGAGAAGCATGGGAATTTTCATTGCTTTGCAAACAAAATGCAAGTTTTCTTTATTAAGTCGCAGTGTAAATCCGTTGCCCGTGAAATTTTTGCTCTTCCAGCAGTGATCGATGATCCCATCCTGCGAAGTTTAAAATTTACTAAAGTTATTACTCTCTACTCCTATAATGGATCTTTCAGAAAAGGAAAGACGTGTTTTTGTGCTCTTTATATAATAAACGGAAATTGGGTATACTCTTAGCGTGATAACGGCCATGTTTTTCCCCATAAGTCTGACGTCCTCAGTTTTTCAGAATTCTAGTTATAAAAGAGTTATCGGGAATCGTCACAATATCTGAATGTTTTCGTATAGTACTGAAAATGGTTGAGTATATTTTTCGTTGCTCTTTGTATATCCGATATTATATAGAGTATATTCGAGCTCTTTGTTAGTTCGTTACGTGTTGAGAATTTTCAGGATCTCAGTGTAGCTGTGGTCGGGTTAAGTGAAGCGTTATCTGCTAAACGCGAGGAGAGTGCTGACTTCATCAATGTACTTTCTGCACCTGGCAAATTGGAATTGGTTGCAACTGCAACTATTCGCGGTCTTTGCAAGACTATACAACTCAGGCAGTATCAAGCAGTGAGTTCATTGGGACTTTTCAGTTGAACTACGAGAAAGATCTTTGTTGCAAATTGTTGTCTTTGCTTATGCTGCTGAAGAATAAGAATGACAACGCTGCTTTGATTATAAACGTTTTCCAACTTTCTTCCACTGTCACTTAGGATCAACATTTTTTTCCTCTACTTAAGGAAGGAATAACGTGGATTCGATTTCTTCGAAAATTCGGGCTAAATGGTATCTTGGCTGATGACATGGGTCTTGGGAAAACCTTACAGACCTTGTGTGCTCTTGCCTTATCACTTGATAATGGTGAGTAGAATGAGAGTTGAAACAGAAGTAGACATACTCAAGCGATATACATAGTTTTGTTCTTTATGGATTCATTTTGTGCGTAGTTGTTTAACGTTTGTTAAAAGTTTTGAAGCTAGATTGGTACTATTCACTGATAAGAAGTTGGGTCAAGCCAATTAGTAACTTTAAAGGTTCGGCCCAGGCATGTTCTACATCCACAGGCTTTATCACTCTATGGCGCAGTGGTTGAAGGCGCCTCGCAGGACATATGGGGTTGATCCCCGCGCCCAGATTCACCAAGCCTTAGCAGACTTGTATGGAAGGATAGCAGCACTAGCTCGATACATCGGTAGGCCACCGCGAGTCATTGTAAAGGCTAGATATGCATTCAATCACCACCAATCGATGCTTAATGAAGTCGAATCCATGGTGCATCCCTCAAGGATTGATCAACGCCGAGAGCTTTACCCTCTGTTTATCATTATTTCGAAGTTCGAAGTAGAATTGTGTAAAGAAGTGGTGTGATGAAGTCTTCCAAATTATTAGACTTTAGAAATTACTTTGACTGTTTGAATTCCTGTGTAATGAATTCCTGAATTGTGTCTAGATAATGTGTTTTCAGTCATCACTTCTTGCTGTTATTCTTCTCCTTCTTCCTATCTTGCCTAGTTGGAGAACTACCAAGTTTTATATATCCATTTGTTGTTCAGACGGCCATTTGTCCACAAGATGTTCATTGATCGTCTGTCCGCGTACCCTCGTTGATCACTGGTGCAACGAATGGCGTCGTTTCTTTCCCGGAAGACTTCCTGCTCGTCGAGTAGAAGGGACGCTGGCAAAATTGAAATCCGTCGAGATCGTTGTTGCAGCATATGAAGATCTGAAGGGGAACACATCATTGGGGTTATGTTGTTCAATTTTTAGTTTTTTTTTCTCAATTTACTTAACCCTTTAAGATTTCCTGACACCATTTGCGTAGAAAGCTCAGCAAACGACGGAAACAGAAAAAAAATTAAAAAATTACAGCTAAGTTTGCTAGTTGGTAAGTTACAGCTGATCTTGGCTGCTTTGCCATAGTTAAATATGATGCACGATTGGTTTACATGAGTGTCCACATGTGTTTGGTTTTTTGTCGTAGACAAGCCAAGCCAAGGGTTTTGAATTTATTGTACCACAGTTCCGTGCCGCATGGCTGGTCTGGCTTCTTGGAGACACGGTTCTGGGAATTCCACAGATGATCGTTTGTTCAATGCCGCACGATGAGCATAACAAACGCCTATCTGTCTAGGCTGGTTAATTAGGGGCAGACTTTTCCACGACAATGTGAACACTTGCTTGACGCATTGGCAGCCACTTCAAGTCATTGTGTAGGGCGAATATTCATTAACCCATTCCACCCAGGTTACCGTATTGCGTTCCTGGTCCAGCGTACTACGCGCAATTTTTCGTTTGCTGCGGACTTTCTGTTTTTTTTTTTTTTTTTTGACAATAAAGTCTTTTCCCAATAAGTAGAGGTGTTGAGGCATTTTGAACATGATCGGACTGTAGAAGAAACTTTGAGCTATTGTTCTATGAGTACGAATGATGTGTATGCTACTATACACTATGTATTACCATGGTCCACTATGCGAATACATTATTTGCATTTGGAATCACTTCCCGTCTGATATAGAGTCCATTTCGTTATTTTCTAGGCCCACGTATTTTATTTTAAAAAATTTATCATAGGAATTGAAATGGAATTGTAAATGGAATGGAATTTTTTGTAAATCAGTAAGCTCTCGATAAGCTATCAAGTGGGTATGCTTAATCCGATAAAAATCTCTGGAACCCGTTAAACTCAGCTTGGACACCATAGTGTCCATACGGTCGTTTGCTCCAGATTGCTATGGGCACTGGTGTCTATACGGGACGCACTGTGTTGAAGTGGTGGTACTACTAGGCTTGTTTGCTGGAATTCATAGTGACATGCAGCATTGCTATGCTCTGGAAGTCATTTTAAGCGCATTGGTGGGAGGCGCTCTGCAATACACTTGAGATTGATCCCCACACTCCACGGTACCAGCATTCTCTGGGGAGGCCATTGCTAGTCATTGTATAAGCCAGATATGAAGTCAATCACCTCCAACGATGCTTTGAAGTCGAATGCGTGGCGCATTCTTCAGGAAATGATCGACGCCGAGAACTTTATCCTTTTTGTGTACATGTGTATGTATACATAAACCTGTATATACATATATGTATATTAACGCATACGTTTGTGTAGTTTTACTGGTTAAAAGTTGAACTCCAGGCGTATTGCATGGAACTACGTTGTTATGGACGAAGGCCATATTCTCAGAAATCCCAAGACAGCACTTTGGCGTGCAGCGAATGAGTTGAAATCCACCAGTAGGTTGATTCTGTCCGGTACGCCAGTCCAAAATAGGTAAGTTTTTAGTACCCCACTTTATATCTTTATGGTATCTGCATCCTATTAGCATTTAAAGTGCCAAGCTGACTTTTCAACAACTGCTAGCATCTGCACAATAATTGAAACATTTGAGGAATTGAGAGCTTGATAGACTAATACAGGAGATCTAGATCAGTCGTACTAGCTGTAGATATGGTTTTCCAAAACTACTATTTTGTTTTTAAGGTTATTTCGAATGAAGACTTTCAAGAAATGGAAACGAACTTCAAATTTCATTTATTCTAACGGTTATATTGGAAGATACCACTTCATCCTGCTAGAAAAGATGTCGTCTATTCAGTTGACTAACTGTTTGTTCAGTGAACAAACTCGTGTAAACACGATTGCCAGGCTTAATAAGATCAGAACTTGGCTGTAGAATAGCAAAACTTGTTTCTTCTTATAAAAGCGCTGAGTAATTTTGAAGGTTTTGCTGATGTTGCTATAGTTCACTGTGGGCCACAATATATTGTTTCAAACCAGCTAGGGACAGTTATTTTGGTTACATGTGGAAGGTCACCTAAAAGGAAACCTATGTTCAAAACGTTTTACACTTTGTATGCTAATTGTTGGGGCGCGTGTGGCGCTGTGGTCTGAGATGCCCTGCAACACATACATAGGATCGAGCCCCGTGTTCCTGGCCCACCAAGCCCTCCATCCCCACGGGATCGGCAAATTGGTACCAGATTTGTCTAGGAGGATAGCAGCACTAGCTCGATATATCGGTAGGCCACAGCGAATCATTGTAAAAGCCAGATATGCACTCAGTCACCTCCAAAAATGCTTAATGAATGGCGCATCTCTCGGGGTTTTATCAATGCCTTTATCCTTTATCTTCTTATTCTAATTGTCACTATACCTTTCTATTTGTAGTCCGGCTGATTTATGGGCGCTCTTTACGTGGTTAATGCCTGGTTACCTCGGTGATGAACGTACCTTTCGTGCGCAGTTTCTTCGTAAGGTCCTTAAATGCCGAAGTCATAAAGCATCTGAAAAGGATATACAGGTATTTTCGAGTTTAGTTAGTATCTCTTCATCTCATTTGATTTCCTTTAGGAGGGATCGGAGGCTGTTACACAACTTCATCGGCTCATTTTACCTTTCATAATGCGACGACTTAAGTCAGAGGTACATGTCTTCGTGGTAGATCATAGACATATCAAATTTAATCGGAAAAAATAGGTTCTCCGAGAATTGCCGGACAAGAATGTGCAAGACGTTGAGTGCCAATTAAGCGATGTGCAGCGCACCATCTACAAGTTTATTGTCGACAAGTTCCTTTTGATATTCCTTGGAGTTTTTTTTTTCATAATATCAGCTGCTAAGCTTGAGAGGTAGAATTACTCTGATTTAGATGTACTGCGAATCGGCTACGGCTTGCTTCTCAAAGTGGCATTTCTCCTCTCCATGCATTAACTGCACTTCGGAAACTTGTGGATCATCCCATTCTTGTACAAGACGTCCTTTCAAAGCTCGGGGCACCAGAATCCATTATGAGCACGGTACATACGGATTTGAGCCATGTTCCATTTTTTATGCAAAAATTTATAGTAACCACTTTTACTTCACCCTTCGATTATTTTTTCGTCAGCTAAACCGGACAGTTGTGTTGAAAATAGGATGAGCTTTTACAGAACATAAGCGTTGTGACCACAAAGATGCTGAGATATTTGCGGAACTATGGACCGCTAATGTCTGCGGTGGGGAATGAACGCGCTATCAACCTTTTCGGGGGCTAACTCGTTCACCAGCACATCATACGAGTCCTCTGTTTCATATTTATCTCGGCCGCGTTATTAGGTGCTATGAGGAATCATTATTGAACGAAGGACTTGAACGATGGTGTTGTGGTGAACACGTTAGCCCCGGAAAGTTATTGCCAAAACCAGGTCCGATCCTCGCCGCAGACCCCTGCGGTCCGGAGTTTTGCAAATATCTTACCATCATTGTGATTGCATCAAACATAATATCTTGCCATTAGAAAAGTGTAGGGACTAAATAAAAAGTCACTGCTTAAGCCCTTATATTTGATCTTTTTTATACGTTTTTATTAATACAGTTTCCTCCCAACGGTTCACCGCGTCATCGTGGCTGGGAGGTGTTCCTGGGTGTCGGACTGCGATGTACAGCGCGGGATTCGTCTCCCCGACAGGGTCTCCCAAGCTGAGGAGTCTGCCTTTTCCAACAGGAAGCTTAGCTAAGAGTTAATCAATACCAGGATCCACCACCGTCCTGATATCAAAGTCTCATGGTGGCAAATCTCCCTCTGATCCACAAGGGTTACGACTTCCTGTAGTGGTGAAGACCTGTTGCAGACTTTGGCCAGGCTGACTTCGGGATTCCAGGGAACCACAATGACTTAATCAGTAGTTAACCGAAAAATGAAGATTATGCTGGAGCCCGCATAACTAGCCAGTGAGGACGGGCCATTCAAGTGTAAGCTGTATTAAGACAGTTTACAACGATATTTCAAAAACCTGAAAATCCTTCGTTATTTTTTGTGATGATTCATTGACGTCAGTGGAGACTCTCTCGAAAAATATTTCTTTTATTGATTTCTTAAGTGTATTTCAATTTGACAGTAGCAGTGAGCGGATGAAAAGGTTTTCCAAGTTTGAATCAGCGTTAACAGTTTTCATACCGGAAGCCCTTCAATATGTTTTCCTGCTTTTTGTACTTTTGTCAAAGAGCGTTGTTTGAAGATGTGTTTTATTCAAAGCAACATGGATGCAATCTAGTGCTTTTCTCTCGATGGGTCAGATTTCATGTTAGGTCGACGAAACCGCGCATTTAGTTTCTCTTGTGGCGCAGGAATCCCTGTTACAAGAAGTGGTGTTTTACTAGTATGTGTTGATAAGTTAAAAACTTATACAAGGTGTAGAAGGCGTTACTACCAAAATGTTCTTCGTTGTTGTCATACAGTGACGAAAGAGTGACATATTTGCTTTAAAGTATAAGTTACAGGCTTTCGCGATTCTGATTTTCTGTGAGCACTGGTACATAACTCAGTACTGTTGCTTTTACGGTTTTTTGGAAGTCAGTTGTTTCTTTGCAAGGCTCGTCACTTTTTGTTAGTGATGCTGACATTGGCTTTATAGGGCCTCTTTGAAACGGAATTTTTTGGCTATGCGTTTCGTTTATTAACTTGAAATAATTCCTGAGGAAGCTGTTTGTCTTAATGATTCCGTGGATTTTCAGCTATCTACCGCTTCATCGGGAAAAATGGCGGCTTTGGGACAATTGTTTAGTGAAGCTGGCATAGGAATAACTATTGAACGAGAGGATTTAGAGGATGATGGTTGGTAGCGTAGTTTTTTGTAAAAGCCGACTCAGTCTCAATTTTTCTTTTTAAATAGATCCTTTGTCATCTATACCTATGGAAATGCCACATCGGGCGTTAATCTTCTGTCAGTGGAAGTCATCTGTACAGCTTATATCAAACGCGTTGGCCAGGTATTCATAATTATTTTAGTATCTTGAGTATCTGGAGCTCTATCTCTTATCGTGGGTATTCTTCACTTTTTGAAATTGAAAATCAATTTTATAGTTTTTATTAAATGCAGTAGAGTATTAGTCCATAAAACTTGGTAAACTAAGTGGTCCAGAATCTGTTGAAGAAATCGTTTCTTTTTACAGCCTTGGGTGCCACAAGTATCTTACCATTTCACCTAGTGAAGATTTTCTCTACTTTCATGCATTAAATGTCTTGTTTGATCGCTTCATGTTTTCGTTTCTTACGTCCAACATGTAGCGTTTGTGGTACGTGTGGCGCAGTGGTCGGAGACGCCCTGTAAGACACACATGAGGTCGATCCACGCGTTCCGGGCCCACTAAGCCCTCCATCTCTCCGTATTCGGCAAATCGGTACCAGACCTGTCTGGTAGGATAGCAGCACTAGCTCGAGACATCGGTAGCCTACCACGAGTCATTGTAAAGGACGGATGTGCATTCATTAACCTCCAAGGGTGTTTAATGAAGTCTAGTGCATGGCGCATCCCTTAGGGATTCATTTACCCCGAAAACTTTATGCTTTAACATCTTGCGTTTAGCATACCATGTAGCTCAGAGTTAAGAAAACATTTACAGTGCACTAAAAAATGTTTTCATTCTTGTCATTTTTATCTCTTCGTTTTATCATTTAAGGTTTTGGATCATTTTTGGCAATACTTCCAGAGGCAATTTCGGGGCACCTATCTCACATTTGGTGTTGGATGGTTCAGTTGATCCCAGCGAACGTCAGTCGATAGTGGATCGATTCAACACTGATCATCTTATCGACGTACTTGTGCTCACAACACATGTTAGTTTATACTGTCCGCCTAGACCTTAGCTGATTCTTTGTCTTCTACTTGTGTTTAGATGCAAGTGACATTTTCGCAATTTTCAACTGGTTAATCGTTTGACTTAGTAATTGGAACGATTTCTTTGTTACAGATCGGTGGTGTTGGTTTGAATTTAACAGGTGCTGATGTGGTGATTTTCCTTGATCACGACTGGAATCCAATGAAGGATCTCCAAGCTATTGATAGGTGATTTGTCTTTTTTTCCATGACATTTTTCGTTTTTTTTTCTTGGACTGATTGACTTATTATTTCTGGATACCTTTTGTAGGGCACATCGGATTGGTCAAACTCGAAAGGTTAACGTCTACCGTCTTATCACACAGGGAACAATAGAAGAGAAGGTTATGAGCTTGCACAAGTTTAAGCAGGATACAGCTGATGTAAGTTTCTATCCTTTACATATGATTTGTTTTCATATAAAGTGATTACTTCAATGGACATTACAGAATTCTATTTGGTTTCTTTGAGGCCTTGATTGGAGCTGATAATCGATCGCTTCAAACTATGGCTACAGACGAGCTGATGAGTATGTTTATTCTGGATGGAGAACAACCGTCCACAGAAAATGGTAGACCCGAAGCAAAGAGAAAGCGGAAATCCGCGTCTTCTTCGCAGATGTCGGGCGCAAACGGTGAAGACAAGTGGAACTTGGCCGAACTGTGGGATGAAAGCCAATACGAACAGCAATTCGATGTTTCTCAGTTTATTAAGGATGCTGTATAATATGAAATCCAGTTTCCAAAATTCCTTAGAAAGCCTAGTAATGCTTTTTAAAATTGCTTATATCGGCCTTAGGTCAAAACACTACAGTTCAACTATCCCATCCTAGTGGGTAATTTTTAAAGCTAGTACTATCTAGACTGGTATTTGTACATGCTTAAATTTTCTTTATCAAGGATACATTTCTGTGGAGTTTGTAACTTTTTAAAGTATTTTTAAGTAACTTTTTGAGTATCAGTTTAAATATCCATTTCTCCCAGCTTAAATGTTGTTTACGGGTTTTAGGATGAAATTGTTTATGAACCAATGAATAGTTTTCCTCTGGAAACGTGTGATCCTTTGAAACATCCATTTCAAGTAGTAAATGGTTGGGTCGAACACATCGAAAGATTTCTGTTGTATAAACCACGAAGACAGCTAGGGAGATTATGCTTAGTTTCAAAATTTCTCCGTTCAATGACGGATCCACCATGTGATAATGTGGTTGCCGTACTCCCAAATGCTAATTATGTATTCTGGTTCTCTGGAGATATTCTTTTGTAAAGAAACGCTTTGTTGACAATCGATATTTTCCAACAAAAAAATTGCAACAATACTTTGTTCAAAGAGAAATGTGTGGGCAGGCAGTTCAAGTTGACTACATAATACATACAACAGAATTGCTAGGTTCTTCGCGGACAAGGCAGTCGACACATCCGGTGCTCGAGCTCTTTCTCTTCACATTCGACCTCTTCCCAATCACCGTTCCTTCCCTTCTGTACTCGACGTCTTCGTACCTGTACTCCTTCACCGCAACTAACTGAGCATCGTGACCATCGCGACCATGAACCCACTGTACACTTGGCCGTGGCTAGAAACAGATATGATCTCGTAGTTTGGCTTTTTGTTCCGGAAATCTTACTTTTGCTGTGTGGAAACTTTTTTACAAAAGGGAAAAGTATGCTATGTGGAGTTTTCCACACTTATCTACTGCTGTAACGTATAGTTTAGAAAGTTATATTAATCAATGCATATTTTTGTCTAATATTGAAAAGGCTTGCCATTGTTGTATTGGTAACCTAGGAATGTGGCATGTTGCTTGAGAGTTTTGTGGAATCTTTAGAAATCTATGAAAAACTTACGACATGGTCGAAGCTCACATCTAAGTTCCTGGATCAAGTGTTCTGGACACGGTGTGCCACCATTTCGTGGGAATATCTGCCAAAAGAATGTGGATTTTCAAGCAGAACAACTCCACCTTCTTGTCGACCTTGTAAGCTACTTTGCTATCTGTGTTTTCAATTTATATGATTCTGATATGGTGTGCGCTATCAACAGTTTACCGCCTCTTCGTGGCTGGGAGCTGTTTCTAGGTGTCGGGCTGCGATATCGGAGGTATTCATCCCTCCGGCAAGGCCTTCTAAGCTGATAACGAGTCCAGTGTTTCCATAAGGAAGCCCAGCTATGAGTGAGCCAGTACTTGATCCACCACCGTTCTGGTATCAAGGTAGTCGCATGGTGTCAAATCTACCTCTGATCCACAAAGACGGCGTTTGCCTGGGATGGTGAAGAACCGGGGAAACTTTGGCCAGGTTGACCTCGGGATTCCAAGGAACCACAGTGGCTAAAGCAGCAAAACTCCGAAAAAATCGAAATTATGCTGGGGCCCGCATAGTCGGTGAAGAAGGCTCATCCAAGTATCCAAGTAAGGTATTGTGAACACAACGTTTTGGTTTTGTGTGAAAGAAGTGAGGATTGAATCTTTTGATTTCATTTCAATCAGTGCAGTCAAGAAAAGGAACCTAAGTGAAAGAAATATGGTTTCACCTTAATTTGCCTGGTCCGCGTTCGTTTTCCTCGTCCACACGTCACTGAGCAGTTTCCCCAAGGCGACCACTCGTGCATTTCGCACGGAACTGGATCACCTTTAGAAATTCTAGGATGTTATCAGGATACTTTAGTCGACTAGATATAGAAAGTCAAATAAACGCTGAGAGAAAATGATTCGAAACTGACCGCCGTCATCGATGTCCGCTATTCCAAATTCCTCAATTAATTGATGGTTAGGCACTGAAATTGAGTGGATTTCATCGTAAAACACATCCACAGTTCTCAAAATTATGTGATCAAACCAAATGCTTTTGACGGTTGTCAATTGACCAGTAGTTTAGTCTTTCTGGCTTTAAAGCTCAGCTCTTATCATCGTATAACCCTTTGCAGGGCACGCAATTCCTAGTTCGACTATCGTCCGAACCAATAAAACCGTCATCGAATCAAAGTCGCTCAGATGATAGCGCAACCGTTTGCAAAAGCTGATGAGCCGTCTACGGTGAGTTACTAGGATCCATTATAAACCAGAATTAAACTCTCTTGCAAAAAAGACTGACTATACAAATTTGAAGGAAAAACAGCTAGACAGTAGGCATGAGGTGCGTTAACTTTCGTTTTTTGCAAAAATTTTTAATCTATGTTCAAGTATCGAGATAGAAACCGCTGAACAATCGGTCCAATTGACAGCATTACTGTAGTTTAGCAGGTTTCGAAACAATTTCAACTTCGTCGTAGTTTTCGCAGTCTTCGAATAAATAACTGATTAAGTATTAACGAGTTCAGGCCTTTTCTTACACTAGTTACTGGAGAGATAAACCGTAGTTATAATTAAAGGGATAAAGCTCTCGGCGTTGATCAATGCCTGAGGGAAGCGCTATGCATTCGACTTCACTGAGCGTCGTTTGGAGGTGATTGAATGCAGATCTGGCCTTTACAATGACTCGCGGTGGCCTACCGATGTATCGAGCCAGTGCTGCTATCGTACCAGACAAGTCTGGTACCAACTTGCCAACCCCAGAGAGATGGAAAACTTGGTGGGCCATGGGCCCAGGGCTCGATTCCACGTGTGTGTTGCAGAGCGCCTCCGACCACTGCGCCACACGCATCCCCGTGGTTATAATTGAAAGGGGGTGATCTTATCGGTTCGTTAGATTTATAGAAATCTCTTAATATGAATGAACAGTTAGAGTCCTCTGCGTATGCAATTACTACCAGAAGCTTTCTCGTATCCCGGCAAACAAACTCGTTTACATTCATCTTCAGTGTCGAATTGATTGCGATTTCCCTGAAATAAAGTGTAGTTCTTAGTGTAGGACGATACCAAATGATCTGAACGAACAATGTTCACCACTCGATGGAGCCATTATAGCGTTTCGAGTAAAACTTGTGCGGTAAATAGTATGTTTGTTAGTATTATTAGTTATAAATCTACATGTTATGCTAAAGTACTCCTTAATGGGACAAGAATTTTGTGATTTTAAAAACTGAACATCGTGCCCTTTTTTCTAAAAGCTTAAAGTTCTCAATGATCTGGAAGTTGGAGGGATCTACATGGTGTGGTGGTGAAAACACTAGCCCTAGTAAAGGATAATAATGAGTTCGACCCTAACCTCAGACGCCTGCGTTCCGGAATCTCAGCATCATTTTTTATTTTATTTGATCAGTATTCACGCCTACTATGCGGATCCCAGCACTTCTTACATCCAATTCGTTTCCTCGCATCCATCGTCCACGAAGATCTTCCAAGTTTTAACGTGTGGCTTCGGTTGCTGCTTGAGGATTTTCATTTCATCCCATTTCATCCTGAATTTCGTAGAATGCTGGTGGAGCAGTTCTCCCGGGTATACTGAGATAGGTGGGCTGGAGCGTTCTCAAGTGAAATGCAGAGGGTGAATTTCTCAGACAAGTCCGGCACCAATTTCCCGACCCTGGGGGGATGAGAGGCTTGTTTGGGCCAGTGCGGAGTCGAACTAGCACCATGCGCGTGATGACGGACATCACTACCACGGTGCTATCCGCCCCATTTCTCAGCGTAATGGCGGTGAACAAAAAAGTTGGCATTGTGGTCTGAAAGCTTTCGCAGATTTGTTTCTGTCTGCTTGATCACTCAGATTGATAGCACACTGTTGCAATGCTTGCAGTTTTTTTTTTTCAATGAAGGAACAACACAATGAAAAAATTCCCATAAACTCTTCAGGCTAAACTAGCCGCGTAATCGGTTGGACAGTTGTTTTGTCAACAGAAAAACACTGTCGTTATGGTGCACCCAATTTTAGGAAAGTTTATCTTATTTGATTTTCATTAGAGAACTCACCTTACATCCAGTGAAAATGAAGCGTTCACATTTTAGCTTCTTATGATTGTACCAGTAACGAGCGAATGTTCCACCGCACTGACCTTCTTCTTTAGGTTCAAGACAAATCTCTGGAACACAGTAGTTCATAGGCGATTGGAGCACAACATCATCAGTACGTTGTAATGAGTACGGTTGTAGGAAGGATACCTTCTGAATTCTGTTCGATGAATCGTCTACATGACTGCAGAACGCATGTGTCCTTCTCTTGAAGTGAAATATGTGAACAGCGCTGAATACGGAGATTTGGTTGTAAATATGTAGAAAATGAAGATGTTAACTTCATAACGGATACTTTTCTTTTTCTCGATTTAGCTTGAGCAAGTGAAATTAGTAGAGAAATTTTACGCTTATGGTCCAAGATAAATCTTTTTTTTTATATTGCAAAGCCGCATCTTCAACTACTGGATTTGCCTTGCTACATCGTCGCCGAGTGGTCGGTGTGCTTTTTATTCGTTTATTTCCATATTTTTATCTAACCTAGTAGCTCATTCCAAATAGGCTGGTCGATTCATATTACGGGAATCGCTCCAGCCACTAAACTTCTCACCGCGATCCTAAAAGTTCGCGACAGTCCGTGAAGAAAACATGAAGAAGCCCTAGCAAGGCGACGGTGGGATTCTAGGATGCAATAAATTGCTCAACTAGTGGGCGCTGTGATAACCAATGGAAGCTATCAAATCTCGGGTTGCATACGACTTCAATGGAACCGAATAAAAACCACGAAAATTGTTTCCTCTTCTATACCTACAACAGTGAAGCCATTTCTTCAAACGCTTTTCACCACGCTTTTCTTGACACCGTAAGCCATGTCAGATTCATTGTGACGAAAGGCAAGAAGATAGACCTATGCGCAGAAATTGACAGGCATCGTGTCATTTATGCAGAAATAGTCTCGTAACGAAATCTCATTGAAGTAGACCTTTTGGTTCACTTTTCTGTTTCCCATTTCGTCGAATTGGATGAGACCCTTCTATTTCGTTTTAACATCCTCTACATTAAACCCAGGCGAATTGAATCGTTATGATCAGCTCATGGGCCGACGGCAGCGAATCAGATGGGTGCTGAAGCAATACCGAAAAACGGCCTGAGCCAGTGACTGTGCTTTTCTACACCTACGGAAGTTCATTGGAAGTAAGTATAGTGTCAGAATAATTTAAATAGAGGCCGAAATAAGAAAGTCTTAATTGAAATTTACATCTGTCTCACTGAGTCTCTGTCCACAGAACGAACGGTAGCTCACTTTTAGATAAAAAGGATTTAAGTCTAACATGGAGTCAATTAACAGAATGACTCATGCACACATTGCTAAATTCTGATGAATGAAAAATGGTGTCTGTTTGACACCGCCATATTGTCATCATTATTTACTACATTAGCGTGAAGATCGATTCGGCGGCAAGCTGGAAAAATACTCCTATTATCTATGAAGAAAGTAAGTTGTGTATAATGACAGTATCCTGGGCTAAAAACTTTCCGTCTTTGAATAATAGATTAGGAAGAGCCTTACCGAAGACTAAAACCTCGTCAGAGCTGCTTAGGGGCTGTATTCTCCTTCATACAATAGGTTCGGATCATACCTACACACCGCTAAAAAGATTCTTAAGAAAAGAAGAAAATCGAACCATGATCCAACCGCAACACATGGCTAGTAATAAATGCCAACTATGAAGCATAGGTGTAGGTAGGAAAGATAAATTTTTGAAAAAGCTCGTCTCAAAAGTAATCAGTCTAAAAAATATAGGGAAGGCTTGTATGAATAGTGTTCTGCCATCAGCGGTAATTTACGAAGAGGTATTACTGCCACTCTCCCGATGATCCGAAATTCATAAGGGAAGGTTCTACATTACTTTTCCTTTTCAAAAAAGCCAAGATATGAAAGAATCTACAACTTGTTGAGTGTACTCCACAATCTCTTTAGAAAAATTATTCTATTGCGTATGTCAAAAACTTAGGACAAAGCTCAACAAGTTGAGCGAACACGACTACCTACTTTTTTCGCTGAGAGAAAGGTATAATGAGGTCCTCAGTGGTGCATTGGGTAATAAGTAAGTCCCAGAAGGAAATCACGGGTTCGAATCTGGCCTGAAGTCTGAGTTCTGTACCGGAAAACCTATCTACCAACCTCAAAGAGTAGGAGTAGTAGCTAGGATAGAAGTAATGAGACCTAGTTTTTTTAATCTTTCACTGGTTCCATATCTTAAGGAAGGTAAAGTGTTTAAAAAGCTCTATCCTCTAGATACCTGCTCGTGTTCGGCGTAGAAGAACAATCGAGTGCGGACTCGAACGCCGTCGTCGCAGCTGGCACTACATGGCGACCACTCGCTCCAGGATGTCGTCCGACACAGCGGATCCGGGGTCACCGAGCAGTCTTCGCCGGATTCTCCTTAGTTCTTACACCGTAGAACATGATGGAAATTGAATTGTCTTGCTTATCATGGCATGAAGATCAATAACGTTGTGAGGAAAAGAAATAGCGAAATGTTAAGACGATCAGAAACTTCCGTAACTCTGGCCAATATTGTGCTTGACTTTTAGCCTTGAATTTTGCACATGATTCCTATATTACAGTTTTACACTGAAAAACATTAATGTACTGTTTCCCGATACTTGACAATTGAGCGCCCCGTCCTCACTGGTTGTGCGGACCCCAGCATAATCCCCATTTTTCCAAGACTTGCTGGTTAAGCCATTGTGATTTCCTGGAATTCCGAGGTTAGCCTGGCCAAAGTCTGCTCCAGATCTTCACCACCACAAGTAGTTGCAACCCTTGTGGACCAGAGGGAGATTTGCCACCATGAGACTTTGATACCAGGACGGTGGTGGATCCTGGTATTGGCTTACTCTTAGCTAGGCTTCCTGATAGAAACGCCGGACACCTTCTTAGCTTGAGAGACCGTGCTAGGTGGATGAATCGCCCCTCTAAATATCGCAGCCCGACACCCATGAGCACCATGAGGCGATAAACCGTTGGGAGGAATGTACTGTTTCTGTCATGAAAAATTCCATATTCTAGTAGAACTAGTTGAATATTGGCGGATTATTTTAATAAAAGATTGTCGCTGAAGCGGCGCACGCACCTACTGATCGGGTGATTTTTTTCTTTTTCAAGTATGATAATCACTTTTTCAAGTTTTGCTCTATAAAGAAACAATTGAACGCTCGCAAAATATTTTTAGAAATCGATTTTGAGTTGGAACTCGTTCTGTTTATGAAGACTTACCAACACAGATATCCTTTCTGATTAAATCCACATTGCATTCGGTTTCGTTTTGTTTTTGATTTAAGAATGATCTGAATAAGGAAGCCGCTGTGGTTTTCGATGAGAAGGTAAATGAATGATTAAAACGGAAGAAAAACACTAAAAAATATGACGGTAAAAACGATAATAGTAAACATTATGATATAACGGCTGAAATGGTAGTTTAAAACATTTGCGATGATTTTCTACTCGCTACCGCACCTGGATCTGGTCCTTGTCCCGTAGCCACAAGTGACCGAACACTCACTCCACGCTTGCCACGATCCCACTGCACATTTCGTGTTGAACGCCTCCGAATCTGCAAAGAGTGAGTCATTTTAAAGTTTTTTCTTCGTGTTCTTTCTTCCTATTTATGTTCCGCTTCTAGTTATACCTTCGTATAAGCGAGCTTCAATAGTTATAGAGTGAGCTAATTTCGGACTCACTGACGCAAAGAGTAATACGATAGCTTTACACTAACTAATTCACAACTAATTTCACCTGTTTGTAGCATTTTCTAGAAACACAGTAAAGAAAAGTTATTGGCTGGTCAGAATCGTTTCGTCATTTCTCAATAGCTAAAGGATTTGAACGAAGACGGTAATCAAGCAGGTGAAAGGAAATTTGCAATACGTGACAGATTTGATAGTTATTATAATTTCATCCTTTTATTTAAAAAGCTCTGTGAGATTATGAGAACAGAGTTTTAAAGCCTGAAAAACATCATATGGCGTAAACTTAGCATAATTGCTCAAAGAATTGCCGTCTTCTATGATTCTTTGAAGCTTCAGTCTCTCCGGATCCGTACGATAGAATGAAAAAGAAATGTATTACAAACGAAGATGACGACGATAAAATGACAAGCTCCAATCTTGCATCGTTGAGACTCTACGTTTTCGTGAAAACTTACGGGTTGCTCTCACGATCTCACGTTTGTTGAGGTTGAATTCAGAAACAAACATCTACATCTTTTTTTCTTTAACGTATTCGGGACGACGTGACCTCTAAAAGAGCCACAGCAAAAGGGACATTGTGGTCGGTATTACCTCTATAATGATTGTTTTTTTAAGGTTTATATTGGCTCACAGGATCCTTTCCCTATGCTTCTTGTAATCAATCGATAGCTTATTCAGCACAGATGTGGCGTGCAACGGCAGGGAAAAGCTCTATTCTGCGCTTAGAAATGTGCAAAAACCTTTTCTTAGACGACACTTTGCTAGCAGTTCACCGTTATTTCAATTCTAATCGATTTAGTAAATCATAATTATTGGATGGAATCTATGAGCATAGAAATACTGAAGGACCCACAGCATGAGTTTTGAGTTTGAGCAGCACCCAACGCTTTCAGCTTCTAAAGCAAGTGTGGATAATATACTGTAAGTAGTAACGTGCATATCATACAACCATAGAACAATAGATCAAAGTCGTTTACAGTGCTTCATGTTCACAACCTCTGAAGTCCTCTAGTTATCCCTGGTTATCAAAAAGTTGTCGTTTATTCTCAAAAAGCTGCCGAGTTCGTAAAGGCTTAAAAATAGGCAACGTCAAACATGGCACCAAAATGAAACTAGTATTCGCAAGTGTGCTAAAAGTCGTATTGCATCCCAGCTACAGTAACCATCGCAGTAAGTAATCGTGTACTTTTATGAAAATTGAAGTCTTGTCGTGAAGAAAAATCGTATTTTGACAGTACATCAAACGAATGCATTTTTTCCGTTGGCTCACGTGCTACCCACCACATCAACCAAGACCCACACTTTGCCTTTCTCTCAGCCAATTTTTTGCTTTAGCGGTGCTATGCTGATATGCTGATAGCACCGCCAGAGTAAAAAAAACTGGCAGACAAAAAGGCAAAGCAAGGGCATCGCTTGATGTGCTGGATAGCACCTGCGCCTCAGGAAAGGGTAATCGCAGGTTCGAAGCTCAATTGAAATATCGACTTTTGCTCATATCTTAGCAATCTTGTGATTGTATCTAGCATAATAACGTGCCATGAAAAACGAATAGGCACTGAATAAAAAGTTGAACAAGAAGCGTTTTTATTTGGAAGCTGAAGATGCTTTGATAGAACTTTGGTTTTCCTTCATGCAAATCGACGTAGCAAAGCATTAATAATACGAAAGTAAAAATAGAAATGTTGTTGCTTACTGCCTGCAAAGTAGCGCTGTTCCAGTACTGTGGTAAAGCTGTGCAAATGATTCACGTGTTTTGTATTTTATCGAAAAATGACGAAATTGCTTGAAGGCTTGCCACCAGATGCGTTGACTGACGACGCTTTACCGTACAGCATATGGGCAGGTGAGATTTTTTTTGTCTTCTGTCTTTGTTTCTGGTTTTTAAGAGCTAAGAAAATATCAAGATGTGGAGTGATCACACCAAGCGTTCGCCCCCACCGGACGGCTTCTCGACGTACCTTCACATTCGTTCACCTTTGCGTTGCAGAATTGTCGTTCCGTCGTCTGACGATGGCAGTTGAACATCTGAGCCTGAAACGATTCCGATTTATTTCATTTGTCTTTCAAGTTTCAACCAACATATTTATTTTATTCTGCTTTTTTCATTTATTTATTATTTACCCACTTATTATGCTGATATAAAAAAAACTGCGGTCTAGTTCTATAAACTTTTGCAGAACTTCAGCTGTCTTAAGGAGATTCAGAAAATGAAATTTATAAGGTTTTTTCTCTATCTGATTATTAGAATTGAATAAAGATTATCATGCATAAGTAACAGAAAAGTAGTCAGGCTATTTCTGCCCTTTTTATCTGTCGCTTTTTTACTACAGAGGTTGGTAATAAGGGTATGCCATGATTCATTTATAACCAAATGCTCTCAAAGGAGAGGCAGACTTTAGTTAGCAAGGATGTTACAAATATGGCAAGATCCAGTGACATACGATGAAGAAAGCAAAAAAGCAATGCCGTAGTTACCAGCACATTTTCGACTTCGTGTGTGCACTCGACTGCAACTTGAGTGAGTTTTGCTTTTTGTTCTCACTTTCATGTTGTATGCTGGTCGACCATCATTTCCCTCAAATCCGTGGATAGCCGCGATGGCACTTGCCAAACTCTTGCCGATATTAGTCTTCTTCCAGAATGGTAATGATTTCTAGGAAACAAACCTCTACCTCCGACTCTCAAGAGTTGGCTGGCTACTTTCAGCAGCTAAGGGATCCTATATCAGTTTTTAAAAGAAGACTTTGCCTGGCCAACATGAAAACGGGAGACAGAAATGTCGCTGGTGACACCACATACGAACACAGTAACTTTCGTGGTTGCATGATAACGGACAGAATGGGAAACGTGCTGGGGTCCGCACATCATAAGGTGAAGGTAACCTATCAAATCATTTGCTTAATTGCTTGTCTTAGGCAAATATCAAAATTAGAATGAAATTTGACTGGAATGACAACATGGTTTTGAAAACGTGGTGCTGTCATAGGAAAGTTGTGCCCAAACGTCTTGTCGTAACATATGAACCTTCCCTTGCAATCAGTAGAAAAACGAAATACGAAGAAGCGAACCTTAATGGGGAAAACGAATACCCTGCTCCGCATGCGAATCCCTTTTCCGCAGGTGGCCGAGCATAGTGACCACGATCCCCAGTTGGACATCAAGCATTCTCCTGAACACTGACCTCGTTTTCCATATGTTCAACTCAGTCATTTTAAAACCTGTTAACTTTTGATTTAGTCACTTTTCCTAAATGATTTTTCTAGAACCTGGAAATTTCACCGCAACAAAGATGTGTGTATATTCTTGTCTGACAAAGCGATACCGCCTTTATTTTCTCCATAATTTTCAAACTCTGTTATTCTTTGCAGCTACATCTTCTTCACTTTGCTTAGTACTTCTTCTAGTTAGTGTCAAACGTGCAAAGTGTTGGATTTGAATATCGTGGCATTCTAAATGTTGCGCGGAATCCTTTGGAGCTGATCTCATGAATTTTCCTTTAGTTTTACTTCTGCGCGATTCGCTATGGAGTTTTTAGATAAATGGAGTAGAAAGCGCGAGTTCTTACTTCTATCCTTGTACTCCTCGTCTTCGCTGGTGTTGGTGATGTTGAACGCCTCACGCTGATATTCATCGTCGGACAAGCATCTCATAGGGATCACCTATGAATAGGAATTTCGTAACTAAAGGAATCTGATGACCGCGTAAGAAATATGGCATTATGGAACCTCTTTTCGCTTCAAAATCAATTTGGCCAATGGTGGAATGATGTCAGATTCTGCAGAGTAGAAAGGTGAAAGTGGATCATCTTTGGTTGTGATCCATTTCACCGGAACCCGCGGCTCGAGTGGTGAGTTCGGTGACTGAAATTCTGGAGTTTGTTCGCATGGGAATATAGCGATATTGTGAATTTGCTATCTTTTTCTACTAGGAAGTTTTTTCTTCATTTTTCTTCTAGTCAAGTGTAACCAATAGAAAATTACCCAAGCCGTTGTTTGGCGTCTTTAACGTAAACCGAGAGTTGAACACAAATTTCGAGGTGAAGGTTGACCTACTAAATGTTACCAATGGAGCGCTTTTGATCGACACCTGCGGTCCCGAGCTTTCCAAATATTCCAGCATCACTCAATCCATCAAAATGTTAGCCTTTCATTTATTGTCTACTGTAATTTTTCACGGCAGAGTACTATGTAAAATGCAACCATTGTTGTGAGATATTACAGTACTAGATTGATTTCCAATAATTGAAAAGCTTGAAGATCACCATATATGTCTGCCCGGAATCGGTTCCAGCATCGAAGGGCTGGAGGTCGAATGCGCGTTCGGTAATCCAGGAACAGTCAGGAAGGCAGAGATTCACGGACGATATTCCCACACACCAGTCGGGAGATGGCCCGAACATGGCAGCCAGGGAGGCGAGATGGTGATACCTGTCATGTGGACGAGTTTCGTGGATTTAATCGAATTACATCTTCTTAACTTTAAATCGGTAATCCCGTCGATGGCTTAACTATTCTATGCCAAATTTACGCAAGGGTTTTTGAGGTTTCCTAGATTTCTGAGCATTTGAGTGTTCTTCACACTTCTGCTTTCATATTCAGCCTTCAGTTCATTAGCTTATTCTATTTTTTTTTTGCTTGGCCGAATATCGATTACATTGATGTTAATGTGGGCAACAAAACTGGTAAAGTGATTTGGATGCATTCCATCACCTACTTATTCACTACAAATTGCGATTTTGTCCTTCCCTGAACTTCAGGATACCATAGTCCTTTCACCTTCATCAGTGTTCGAATCTCAGAAGCCTGAAAAAAGTCGCTTTTGAAGTAAACCTAAAGATAGAAAAGGTAATTGTTTTATTCTTGTCGTTCGTTCAGGTCTACGAAGCCTAAAATGGCTAATGCGCCAGCGGTTGATTAATCTGTGAGGACTGCGCTACGTACTCGACTTCATGAAGCATGACATAAAGAATTGAATGAATACCTTTCCTATACAATGAGTTGAGGGGTCGGTAACACAGTGGTAATGATGATGATCAGCACAAGCAGAGTGTTGGTTTGACCCCGTACCAGGCTCACCAAGCCCCTCATCCCTCCAAGGCTGGGAAATTAGTGCTGGACTTGTCTGGGAAAAGTTCGCTCTGTGCAATCCAAATGAGAACAGTCTAGTCCGGCTCCGGTTATCTCAGGACTCCAGGGAGAATCGAGTCAACCAGTATTCAGCGTTATTCATGATGAAAATAAAGTCCTTAAGCAGCAGCCGACGCCAAACTCGAAAAATCCTAAGACCTTCGTAGATGATGAATGCGTGGAAGCGAATCAAATGCAGGAAGTGTTTGAATCGCAGAGTAGATGTGAAGGATTGCTCGTTTAAAGAAAAAGTACCATAACTTGCGGTTTCTTAGAGATGCCTCAACTCAGCGCTGTTATCCTCTCAGACAAGCCTGGTACCAATTTGCTGACTTCGATGTTATGGAATGCTTGAGGAATGAGCCCAGTGTATGGAATCGAAATAGCGATCGATCTAGTGCATATTGTAGGGCATCTCTAACCACTAAGCTTCAAGAGTGATGAATTTCCTTAAGAAAAGCAGTCAAGATTATCTGAAAGAATAATCATCTTTTCATCTATTTTTAATGGTTATAAGAGTATGTTGCAACTTATTAGGCCTGGAGAAACTTGAATCGCAACAAAATTTTTATCCTACGATTTGTCCCTGTCATTAGCAAAGTAAAAAGACCAAAGCGATAAAGAAAAACCTGGACTCTTTTGTATTTTACTAAATAAGGAAACCACTATGATTTTGTCGACATTGAAATAACTCTTAGGATCATCTTTCACCTTTTGCTTAGCTTCCGCTTCTGCTTTGAAGGTGTTTCCCCACTCAGCGATCTCCTTCATGCCGTCCGTGGAAATCTCTCCGATCTTCCATAATGAGTAGTTCTTTGAATGTGATGCACCTAGCATGTCCGTGAAATGCGTCAAATGTTCCACTAGAAAAAATGTGAACGTAAAATGTCCACTTCTTTTGGACTGTTTCTCAAAGTTGTTCAGTTTGTAAAGAATTCCGGAATAGGTGAAACGAAGGATCCGCATCGTGTGGTGGTGAACGCATTAACCCCGGGAAAGGGTAATAGCGCGCTCGTTCCCCACCGCAGACGCCTGCTGTCCGGAGTTTTGCAAATATCTCAGTATTATTGTGGTTGAGTTACATATAATACACCGCGCGAAAAACTGTAATAGGCAGTAAATAAAAAAGTTAACAATTTCGAAATATTTTCTATACCACACCACTTGATTAGCTGCTTTTTTAGTTTCATCCAAAATTTTTTTGGACTTCGCCACTTGTTCTCTACTGCTGAATAAACCATTGGTTTTAACTACGGCATGGACAATCAATATACAAATAATCTCAGGAACATGAAAGAAAAGCTTAGAAATGAAGATAATAAACAACCAACAAGTTGGAAAATCCTTCGGGTGTGTTTCTTTGCTCCATAGTCCTACGAATTCCAATTCGTATTTCGCCTGGTCGCATGCACAGCACTCATCGTTTGGATCGTCGTTGGGAAGAACTTTCTGGTAGTCTGCTACAACAACAGTTTGAACATTTTCATTCGAACTCTTCAGCACCTCCAAATAGACTTAAATAATCATGCGAAAAATATGTGCTACGTTGTGTTCTCCGACATCCACGGTATCTGCAACTATCACCGAAAGTCGTTGGGTCTCTCCAAAGCTGTCTGTCCGTCTAGAAACTTTTCACTCGAGTCATCCTAAACCGGTCTGAGAGAACACCGAACGAAGTGCAGCCATATGAGCAATCAGAGTTTCGAGAACGACGCAGTACGGTGGACCACATCTACACGATAACAAGGCTTAGTGAATATCGCAAGAGTACAAAAGACCGCTCCTTCTCACTTTCATCGATTTAAGGAAAGCTTATGACTCAGTTGAGATAGAATCAGTTATGGAAACACTGGCCAGCCAAGGCATCCATACTCAGTGTACAAAGGTTTTTGGTTAGCTATATAAAAAGTTCGCAAGCAAAATATCACCATTCTACAGTGATATTATCAATGTCAAAAAAGAGGTTAGGCAAGGGGACAACATGTTCCCAAAATTATCAACCACCAGCCCCGAGAACGTCATGCGAACACTAGAACAACATCACCTGTATCACCCGTCACCTGTAGTCCCGTTGATCGTCGAGTGACTCGAGCGGATGACAGTAAATCTTCAATTTTTACCTGCCGCGTGCAATAGCAGCCCAGTAGGTTCTGCTCGCTCTAGGAACTCGTCGAGCATCATATCTTTCTTCTAGACTCTTCGTGAAGAACTCTGATCATCGGATCGGTGGTCTTCCTGCAGTACGTTTGACATCCCGAGGAATCCAGTCACTAACGGCTCTTGCCCATCGGTTGCCATTCATACGCATTACGTGTCCGGCCCACCTTATCTTCGACTGTTTGGCACACAGAACGGCGCATCTTTGATTTTTGATCCTTGACGTAGGCCCGAGCTTCAGATCCCATCCCTTACTTGTGTGAAACGGGATGTTCCTAGCATCTTCCTTTCGACTACGCGTTCGATAACGCTGAGTGGTCTTTCATCCTGCTTACGCATCAACCGGGTTTCTGAAGCATACGTTAGGGCACGATGTAACGTTGAGTGGAAAAAGTGGGCACGAAGTCGGTTGTTCTTTGTCCTATCCACTACATCCTCGATGCTCTTTAAAGCTCTTCAAGCCGCTCGTTTCCTTCTGCTCAGCTCTGGGGCTAAGTCGTTCATCACATTGATTTCCCTACCTAGATAGACACAACCTTCTCAACGGCTTACCACCTCATCGCAGCTGGGAGGTGTTCCTGAGTGTTGGACTGCGATGTACAGCGGAAGCATTCGTCCCCCGGTAGGGTCTCCAAAGCTGAAAAGGAGTCCGGCGTTTTCATCAGGAAGCCTAGCTAAGAGTAAATCTATACCAGGATCCGCCACCGGACTGGTGGTTTCACTCCCATATTATCCCATTCCAATGTTCGCATGACGTTCTGGAAGGTGACGGTAAATAATTTTGGCGAGATGGTATCGCCTTGTTAACTCCCCTTTTGACGTCAATGTTAATATCGTTGTAGAATGGTGATACCTTGGTTGTGAAATTTTTGTAAGTTCATGAATCAACGAAGAATCTTTATGTACTGAGTAGGGACTCCTTGACTATCAATAGCTTCCAAGACTGCTTCTATCTCAGCTGAATCAAAGGCCTTCCGTAAATCGATGAAAGTGAGACAGTGCGGTCTTTTGTACTCTCGCGATACTTCAATGAAACGTGTCACCGTGTGGATGTGGTCCATCGCACTAAATCCCCTTCGAAACCCTGCTTGTTCACATGGGCTGTCCTTCGTCTAGTGTTCTGTCAATCTTGTTTAGGATGACTCCAGTGAAAAGTTTGTAGACGACAGACAGTAAGCAGTGCGATAGTTGCCGATATCGTGGAAGTCACCTTTCTTGAACAATACGGTCTTGCTGATCTCCCATTGAGTAGGACCTTGTATTCAGACAGGTATGTGGAGAGCCGACGCAGTGTGTTCACGAGGAAAGTTCTTCAAGTGTTCTGGTCTTATCCTGTCCCGACCTGGTGTTCTTCGATTTTTCACCCTCGAAATGGCATATCGAATTTCGGAAGGGAGAACCGGTGGTACAACATATACATCCTCCATTATTTCATATGACGGGAAGTGGACGTGGCTAACGAAGAGATCTGAGTAATATTCGTGAATGATTTTTTTTCATTGCCTTTCTGGACCCTGTAACTGTTCCGTCTAGGAGTCGGAGTGCATTCATCTTGGTCTTGTAATTGGCAAAGCTTCGGTGGGCTTTGCTAATGTTCTTCCCAGCCTCTGCAGCTTCGACCATTACTGATGCTCTTCTCTCTTTTATCGCCTGTCTGCATTGTTTTGCAAGTTCGGACGTTAGTTCGCGGTTGCCTGCAGCTCGTGCGATTCCACGCCGGCATATGAGCTCGAGTGTCTCTGGAGACAGACGTCTTTTGGTGACTTTCGAACTGTGAACTTTTATAGCGCTGGGGTAAAGATGTTGAATGAGCCGATCGTATTCTTCGTCGATGTTATTGACAATGGCACCTTCCCAATAGCGGACTAATGAATTGAATAGGTCCCAGATTATGGTGGTTCTGGGAATTCGGCTTTTCAATTTAACGGCTTTTTCCCCTTTCCACGAGAAATAGAATCTTGCACGAAGAAGACGATGATCCGATCCCGTGTAGAATTTTAGGGCAACAGCGACATTGATTAGGCAAAACCTTCTATTTACTATGATGTGGTCTATTTCGTTATGGTACTCTCCACTGGGAGACTCCCACGTCCAGCGCTGAGGGTGGGGCTTCTGAAATTGCGAGTTACCATAAACTGTCTTGGTCGCCATGATAAACTCAGACAGCCGCTCACCCTGTTTGTTTCATTTTAATCCGTGGGTTCCAATGTGACGCTCCTCAGACGTTGTTCTCGGTCCAATCTCGCCGTTAAATCTCCAATGATGACCTTGACGAATGCATGGTCTTCTCTGTAGAGTTTCTCCACGCCCATAAAGAACGCTCCGACTTCTTTTTCGTCATAGTTTGTTGTCGGCACGTAAACGACGAAGATTTTCAAAGCTGCTATTGATCCACATCCTTTTAATCGTAAACGTCTGTTTCGGGTTGTAAGTTGTTCGAATGAACCGATGATCATGGAAAAACTCGTGTTGACGAGAACACCGACGCCGCCGACCTCTATACTGCCTCATGTTCTGAGGAACGGTTCCTCTCCGGTGTCATAGACGGCGTTGAATTGGTGGCGTCGTCTTGTCTCGGCCAGGTCGATGACGTCGCACCTTTAGCAAATACAGAAAGTATGTGCCAAACCGGCGCAAGCAGAAACAGGGAGTCCATCCTCTGGATCCACCTGCGTCTCAGGAAAGCAAAAGTCGCTTTTGGTCCGCGATTAACCCCTTATCCACCACCTGGAGACGCGCCACGTAGCCTCGCGACTAAACGGCTCGAGATCACTTATGGGATGACATGGGAGTGAAAATAGATGGTCGGTAATTACACCATCTTCGCTTTGCCGAATACGTCGTTTTCATAACACCAAGCATTAACTAGGCGGAACGACTTATCGACTTTGATAGAGCTTGTGGGAGGATTGGTGTTCGAATAAATCTCACAAAAACGGTGTTCACGAGGAATGGATTGGTTTCGTATGCCCCATTCACACTCAACAGAACGAATATCTCCGAATGTTCCAGTTATGTCTGTCTATATCGGGAAATTAGCATGATCAGCGTTTAGTTTCAGACCGGTGCAGGAGGAAGCGAGCAGCTTGGGGGCTTTCAAAAGCATCGAGAAGGTAGTGAGTAGAATAGGAAACATCGGACTCCGTGCAGCGCCCACCTTTTCGACTCCACTATTCTTCCTGTCATAACGTATGCGTTAGGAACCTGGTCGCTGCGTAAGCAGGATGAAAATTTGTTCAGCTTTATATAACGCGCAGTCGAAATGGCGATGCTAAGGGTATCTTGTGTAGCACAAGTGAGGAATCCGACGCTCCAGTGTACTTCAACAGTCAAAAACCAAAGACGCCTTTCTACACGCCAAACTGTAGAAGAGCAGCAGCATAATGCGTATGAATGACATATGACATACGACGACGTATGAAGAGAGCCGTTTGTGACTGAATTCCTCAATATGTCCAACGCCCGGCAAGAAGACTGCCGACCCGATGGACAGAGTTTTTTGCGGAAACCCTAGAAGAAGAAAAGATGCTCAACGACCCCGTTGAGAAAACAAAATCCAGTGGGCCAGCTTTGCATGCGAAAGGGAGAAACGGAAGACTTAGTGGCACCCGATCGAGTCTGTCGGCAGTCAACGAGACAACAGGTGATCAGCGACAGGTGAAGTTATGTTGTATTTTTAATTATAAGAAAATTACATTGCCATATGGTGTTCTTCTACTTAATATCAACGAGTGAATGAAGACACGAACTCATCGTTAAAATTCTATGATTATTACCACTTATCGAGAAAAAAATTGCATTTGATCGGATTGGTTTCTTGGCTGAGACATTCTCTACCACCACAAGAAGTTCAAAGTGCAAATGTTAAGCGGAGACAAAGCAGTTGGTTTCAGTTGGCAGGATGATGCATTCTTTTCGTCGAAACAACCTAGGGAGTCACCAAATGTTATTGAATGTTAGTAAAGCACTTTTCTCAGATCAGTCTTATATATTAATAGAAAGTGGATAGTGGGAATCGTTTTCAACCCACTTTAGACTGAGAGCCTTCAGCAAAACTGAGGAAGAGAGTAAGATGAATTCAATACCTTTGATACAGAATTTCTTTGTCATGCCGTTTTCTTCGGAGTACCAGACGTACTTCGACTCGATGACAGAAGCACGGAATATCACGCAGCCTGTGGATACCTGTGGATAAATTTCTTGGCAGCTGTTAGTTCGGGAGGCTTTTCAAGCGTTATTATGGGTCAAATGTAAAAAAAATCACTAAACACACATCAGGTGCTTTCCATATTGTGTGAACAGAAGTTTTTGGACGAAGACTCGAATGCGAAACTCCGGCCTTTCGACATCCCGGAGCCGTTCGAGCATCTCCACGACCGCGTACCACCTGAATTGAGGGAGAAGTTAGTTTCTTGTACTCATTAGCGCTCAGTTAATGCAATAGAAGCTATAAAAATGAAGTACGAGCTACGAATTAACACGCTAAGTAGTTATTTTTAGTTTAAAACGGCTTTTTTTGTGAACCGTCAGCGCTCCACTTCCAACATAGTCTCAGACAGCATCGCCTTCAATCAAAATAATTGGGTACAAGGCTAGAAAATTTCCGTTAAGAAACTGGATTTTTCTTCGCAAAGAAAACATGGATTTCCTCGAATTTTCCGGCCGGCTTGCCGTCCTCGAACAAAGCACTGAGCACAAAACCTCGGAACGTCCGTACAATGAATTTTGTTCGCCAGCCTCGAATCGAAACTGAAATTGAATAGTTGTAAACTATCCGGACCACACTTTCCATTTCTAAGCCATTTTCAAGAAATTATGACAACCTGCCAATTTTATTCCTTCATTTCCATTCATCTACTCATTACGACATTCCGATAGCATTTTTCACGCGTGATGGGGTGAGTGTAAGAATTAATATCACCCTGTATTACTCAGAATCCTGTTAATCACCAGATCACTTGAGCATCAGACACCCATAAATCATTAATTCGTCCTTGTCTCGATGCAGAGCTCCTCAGCTGCATTTCCCTGGCCCAAAGGGCACAAAGAGCATTATTACACATCTGCTATGAACTGATTTTCCACCACTTTCGGAAATCGGGTACCAGTTTGTATGTAGCATGCCGGCTCTCCTGAAGAGAACATGGAGCTCATTTGTTGGTAGCTACCGCTAGCTGGACCTTTAGCTGTATTGCCTCGTAGGATACGAGTCACGGGCATTGGGGCAAATGAGCCTATCCATTAGCATGACCATGTGTAAACGTTTTCAAAGAATCAAATGGCAGAGAATCATTTCGCGCTGCTATTAACGGGCTCGAGCTCAGTCACGTGAGTGAGATTGGTGGAAATTAGTCAACTATTAATAGTAAAACATGAAGAGTATGATTCAAACATGATTCCTATGTAGAATACTAAGTAAGGAATCTTCACTAAAGCTTATCTTTGAATGTTCCTAACCATGAGCTCCCTCAAAGATTTTATATCTATCTACCACGATGGTTCGATATTTAGGAAACTACAAAAAGATTCTTAATTCTCCTATGCTCATTTTGAAGAACATCAGCCACTGTCCAATTACTGCATAAAAGAGGAAAAGAGGAAAGTTGTTGTTTTAAAAAGCTAAAGGAAAAAGAAAACGATTAATTAATGACCATGACTGCTCACTTCAGAAACCCACTTTTGTATGTTTCGCCGGGCACAAATCCGGTGTCGCCGTTGTCGCCTTTAGCAGTAATGGCAGCTATCTCAATCACATAACCGTTATTTCCGGACCGCTTTGGTCCCTTGGACTCGTAGGGCCGAATGGAGCAGTCGTCGGCCCCCGCCAGCACAACTGCGAACAGGAGTGCGTGCCATCGCATGCTGTACGAAAACACAAAAAACTTGCTATTAATTGAGTTCTGAATGTGTAGAATTTTGAGATTCCACAAGGATATGGCTCTTGAATCTTTAAGTCTATTGAGTTTGAACTACCACAGACATTTAAACACTCAGATTACTCAAAACATTTCGAAATAAGGCCAACGTTTTTCAGCAGAAGGAAATTTAAAGGTAATAAAAATCATAGTTTCTGAAAGAAAATCGCGAAATCTGAGAAAAAGTGTAAAAAGCCCTTTTGCAGATGCTAAAACGAGTTCCGAAAAAAATCATTCATCGTCAGAAAAATTAATCGATATAGTTGGTATAAAACCAATTTATTCAGCTTGCAGTTCACTAACTTTCTCAATGCAGGAAGGAGTCGCTTTTCTACTAAAAACAGATTTATCTGTTCATTCAGTAAGTGGAGTGATAAGAGTGATTTTTGTAGTTATCCCGTATATAGTCTTCCAGGGCTTCATTTCTCATATTAGAAAAAAAGCACAGCAGCACCACTTGCAGAAACTGAGCCAAAAATGTGGTAACTGAGAGGAATATTGGACTTACATAGACAATTACCGCATACTTTAGAATAATGTGAAATTATTCAGCAAATTGAGAACCAAAGAAAAATACAAATGCAGTCATGTTGCTGGTAGATCCTTCCAGTAAGCTGTAGTTCACATTATATAAAAAGGATAAAGCTCTCGGCGTTGAACATGAACTTCATTAAGCATCGTTGGAGGTGATTTAATGCATATCTGGACTTTAAAATGACTTGCAGTGGCCTACCAATGTATCAAGCTAGTGCTGATATCCTCCCAGACAAGTCTAGAACCAATTTATCGACCCCGGAGAGATGGAAAGCTTGGCGAGCCGCGGGTGCAAGGATCGATCCCACGTGTGCGTCGCAGGGCGCCTCAAACTACTGCGCCGTACGCGCCACCACATGGTATGAAAATACAAGGTAATAATTGCACGTATGTACATTGTGGTTAGAGGTGCCCTACAATACACACGTGGTCTTTTGTTCGATAGCGACCTCGGGTTCACCAGGCCTTTCATACTTACATGCTCCGAAAATTGGTACCAGTTAGAAAAAAGTAGTGAGTTAATACATCGTAGACCACTGCAAGTTAATTTATAGGCCAAATGAGGATTCACTCAGTTCTAACGATGTTTAATGAAGTCGAGTGTATAGCGTTATTTCTATGAATTGATGAACACTGAACACTTTAAGCTCGGCTCTCTAAGCTAAAAATAACATCATGAATACGAAGAAAATAAAAAGAAACAATAATGAATCAGTAGGAGTTGAAACTAAGGACCGCAATGACATGACGATCTCGCTCGTCGTAGTGAGGTCACGTAGGGGCGTAGCTGACGGTGAAGCGCCCCCGACACAACGCGCGCCTGTTGGCCATGATGAATGGCCGGTGACGCCACCTCGAGTGGGCAAGTGCTACAGTTGTAGAGACCCATCGTCTCATGAAATGATCATCTTCTGACTCAGTCCATTTGCCAACCATCAAGTGCCGTCTATGTAGCGCTATCGTTGTGGTCGACGACAGAAATCGGCGAGCTGTCGTAGTGTTACGCCGCACCACGATCGCAAGTTGGTCTGGCTTATAATTAACTACAAATTAGATAGGATGGTTCACTTTTCAATTTATCACAATTTTTCGCTTGTCTCTGACTTCGGTGATGTTATACCACATGTGAAATTGATTATGTATTTAATGAAATACACAAGGCCATTCGCAATGGTGTTCACCCTCGTGGTCCAGCGTTATGGCATAGCCGAAAGCATGTTGACTGAACCAAAATGCTGGAGAATTCTTGAAAAGTTCATTTATATATCATCAAAGTATGTTGTGCTAAAGTTCCGAATAACTGAATTCAACGACTATTTGGCTATTCACTCTCTTATAGAATCGTGATCTTATGAATAGACGCCTTGTGAGGTGAAGTTTGTGAAGAATGCCACCAACGCTTGAGAATGGTAATAAGGCAAAATCGTTCTTAAAATAAAATAAGTTTTAAAAGCCGTTGGCAGAACTGTACGAAACTAGAGTGCTGCCATAGCATAAAAAAAAACATTGAAGAAGCAAAAGTAGGTTTCTAATTCTTTTGGTCAACCAAAAATTCCCAGCCAGCCATATGAACAAGATTTGTTCCGTCCCAATTTCAAAGTTGAGGAAAACTCTCCGGTAGTAGCATTGAATTGGAGAAGAAACTCGAGTTCTTCTCGAGAAAAAACACTACTTTCCACTTAAGACTGAACAACTTGCTGCCGAGATTTAATCGTACAGTGAACTATAATCAGCTTAAAAAATAAAGGATAAAGCTGCTATCGTTGATCAATCCCTTAGGAATGAGCTATGCATTCTACTTTACTAAGCATTGGTAGAGTGCATGTTTGGCCTTTACAATGACTCGCGGTGGCCTACCGATGTATCGAGCCATTGCTGCTATACTCCCAGACAAGTCTGGTACCAATTTGCTAACCCGGAATGATGAAAGGCTTGGTGAGCCATGAGGGCGGGGATCGATTCCACGTGAGTGTTGCAGGACGCCTCTGACCGCTGCGCCATACGCGCGCTATAATCAGCTTAATTCACTGGAATTGTGCAAGAGGGCTCACATAAGCCTAGACATTGGATTCGTCACCTCGATCGGTTTCGCACTGTCGAAAGGTGAGAAAATGCTCTCCTAATCGGAATGGGATGTACAGCACTCGACAAAAACAGGAATGTTTTTGGCTTGCGCTTGTCATCTTTCTCAACATTCCCAGAAAGTCAAGCAGCCCAAATGGCAATGATGTGTCAATTCGACGCATCAAAATCACTTATTCAACTCCCCCATTAGAGTTCTCCGTGCAGCGCATTTTATTTGTTCATAAAAAATTTGACTTCTAGTAGTCGTTATTTATTTTTGTAAACTTATTTTACATAACAAGCCATCTTATCTACTATGCGGATCCCAGCATTTCTTCTATTCGATTCGTTCTCCTCGCATTCATCGCCCACAAAGGTTTTCGAAAACTTTGCGTGTTGTTGTCGGCTATTGCTTGTGGATTTTCTCTTCTTCATGAATATGGTAATGCTGGTCAAGTGGATCCTGATGTCCAAGATCCTGTCAATCTTCGAGATGGCCGAGCTAAGACGGTCCAACGTGGTGTGGAGGATAGCGTAGAGTAAGGTGACGAACCACCACCCAACCAGTTATCGGCATATGCATTAAAATCGTGGAAGGCCATCATACGTAGAAATGAAGCCTTTCTTCTTTTCCGATGTCATTTATCTTTCCTTTAGGGAATTCGTACATATCCATGACATCCACCACACAGCATAAAGGAAGAATTTGAAGTTTGTTTGGAAACTGCTTGATTAAAGATATGTGCAGTTAAGCAGTGAGAACCATAGTTTTGATAGCGGATAGCTGTCACTCGCTAGGGTAGTTGTAGGTATGGACATGTTCCAAAGAATCCGACTACCAGCGTAGTGGATGTTTTAGCTCCTTCCGACGAAGCTATTTTTTCGACAACTGACTATAGTTTCCCAATCAATAGAGCACTTCAATTGCCCGCTAAACGTTATAGATTTATAGACGTATTCTTCTTACATCGCCCCAATCGAATATAGAATTTTGACAGAGTATCCTTCCTAATTTCAATGTGCCTTGAATTCATACTTACAAAGATAATGGCGCCTTTCAGGCTCTGAGGAAGGCTATGCTGACAAAACGTCAACTACTGTTGTGTTGTATGTTCTTTTATATGGAAGCAAGCGTGTGCTTTATAACAACTTCGCGATTGTCGGAAAAGAAAACGACATTTTATACAAACGACGAATTTAAATTTTTAAATTTTTCAACCAAAAGCGATAGCTACAGAGATGAATGATACATTGGAGCACATCATCATCTCATGCTGCACGAAACCCATTTGTTCATTTGCTTTACGAATTTCACCCCAATCGAAGAAGAAATTTAGTCTCTTATGGATAACATTTTTAAATTCATACAGTTCGAAAGACCGACTTTCACTAAACTCTGGCATCGATGAAGAAGGATAGAGCTCTCGGCGTTGATCGATCCCTTATGGGTACGCCATTCAGTTGATTTCACTAAGCATCGTTGGAGGTGATTGAATGCATATCTGGCCTTTACAATGACTAGCGGTGGCCTACCGATGTATCGAGCCAGTGTTGTTATTCTCCCAGATACGTCTGGTACCAATTTGCCAGCCCCAGAGGGATGGAAGGCTTCGTGAGCCATGGGCGCAGGAATCGATTCCACGTGTGTTGCAGGGCGCGTCCGACCACTGCGCTACACGGTCCCATAACTTTGAACTTTTGCATGAATAATCAGCAATCTCTTACGAACTCCTTGGACAGTTCATAAGTTATAATTATCTATTTGGGTACTTGGATGAGCCTTCTTCACTGACCATGCCGGCTCAAGCATAATTTCTATTCTCCGGAGATTTGCTGGGATACTCACTATGGATTCTTAGAGTCCTGAGATCAGCCTAGCTGAAGCCTTTCTAGGTAAGTCGGATTATTGAGAGATCATACCAGGACAGTGGTGATTCCTGTTATTGGCATTGGTCCACTCTTCTTGCGAGGCCACGCTGGGGATGAAGCCCCGCTGTACATCGCAGCCCGACACGTAGTAACACATCCCAGGGGCAATGAGGCGGTAAACCGTTGACAGACTTAAGATATTTTTAAATTCGAATAGTTTTTAGAGCAGGTAACACAGTGGTAGTGAGTATGTTCGTTACACGGATGGCACAAACTGGCCAAGCGCTACTTTGGCACCGCTACCGAACTCACCAAGTGCATCATTCCTCCGGGGTCGGGAAATTGCTATCAGACTTGGCCAAGACAATCTCCCTTCATACGTGGGAAAATTCTAGCGCCGCTATCCGCAAATTTCAGGAAAAATTGACTAGACCAAGATCCATCTACGTTCACGATGAAGACGAAAAGAAATCGTCAAACAACATCCGAGGTTACATGCAGAAAGGTTTGTAGCCCGTCGTGGATGGTGTGTGCCAGGAAACGAATCGAATGCAAGTGCAAGGATCCCAATGGTGTAGAAGATGTGAGTGACGTCGAGTCGTGCAATAGTAATAATCCCAATGAGCCGAGGTATAATGATCTACGGCTGAAAGCGGCCATTACTTTCGTATTATATGACTCCTATGAAGGTCAAGTCGTCGTTTAGGGTTTACGGAATTCCACTATGAATCAACTTGGTTCAATCACCGAGATATGAGCGGAAGTTGGAGCCCCCAGCTGCACTTGGAATCCTCGATTACTCTTATCGTGGTCTCACGTGCTATGTGCCACGCCAATCGACACCTTCGTTTGCAAAATGAACTCCGTCTTCTATTTAGTGTATCAGTGGCATCAGCAATGACCCATCAAAGGGCATGATTTGTGGAGCATAAATCGGCATTGACCCCAGTTACCATCGAATCCTATCGACCCTCTCGGTTGTTGTCGTGGACAGCACGTGAACGCGATAACGATAATCGAGGGTTCGAAGACAAACTGAGGTTCCGAGTTTTGCTCACATCAAGGCATCCTTGCGGTTGCACTTCACATCATACCTTACGATGGCGAAAAAGTAGACTCCAAATAAAAAGTTACCACCGTGATTCCAAGGGAGTAAAACTGAAGATGGAGATTAAACGAATTGTAATATCATATTTTTCAAGCGATATTATTTCTGGTTTAATCCTTTGTTTCGCAATTGATGAAATCTAGATCTCGGAACATTTTTAGACACGATCTTTTGGTAACTGTGGCGGATATCACGACAAAGGAGGAAGCCGCTGGTCATTGTGGTAGGTGAATTCACAGCAGAAACATATTTACCTTCGAGAAAGCACATTGGACTATACACTGATATCATCAGCAAATCAAGAAATGGAACGCTAAAAGATTTCTCGTAGTAATCGGCATGGATATGATTCGCGATAAAAAACTACAGTAGTAGCAATGTTCATATTTATTCCATAGAGATCATCCAAATATCTACACATATTTACACATAAAATTACAAAGTTTTCATGAGCAGATCATTCAAAACGGACACACCGCAACCAGAACTGTTACTGGTAACGACAGCTTCTACACTGAACTACCCGTATGACTATCACCATTTCGATATAAAAGCTTAGTAGGAACATGTCCGGAAAATGGCCCGGAAAGCGATGAAGTGATGATATACCATATGTTATGAAAAGTACTTCACATAAGACAACTTCTTTGGATTTCTCATTCATCCTAGAATTCCTAATAGAGCTGGAAAATTCTGTTCAGATTCATGCGCAAAGAATCTTATTAAATGCACTTCTGAATTCACAACACAGAGAAGAAAGAGATATTGGAGGAGACAAAAACGACTAGGCAGTTGGTTTCTTTCTTGCAGATGCTCATGGGTTTCTATGGGATTTCCGAAAGCAACTTCCTTACCTATAAATGCTATTGCAAGACCAAAAGCAAAAATCTATTTTGCTCAGTCACAATTTAATTAGCTAAAAAAATGACCGACCAGTAGTTCGACTGACCCCGAATTCATGGCGAAAGTTCTGTGTAAGGAAAAAGAACACTAATATATTGCATATAAGGAAAAAAAGAGTTCCTCAGAAACAAGGAGGTTCGGGAACGCCTGTAAACTGTTCTGCGGCATTTCTGTAGCGTTTTCATAGAAACAATAATAAATTGCAGAGTACAGACTTTTCTTGGCACTTCTGTTTGTGCATAGGATTGTGAATATCATCTTAAACCTCATCTCAGAATTCCTGCTTGTAATCAGACTAAGGTGCTTGTCCTAACGGATCGTCGAGGACTTTCGAGATATTGAATTGGTTCCAGTGGTGGTAAATGCGAAGCATCCTCCGCTTCTGGTACCGCTGAAGACGAAGGATTCTCTGCGGGTGGTGGTAAATGCGATGAGTTCTCCGTTGGTAGCGGTAGTGGAGAAACTGAAGCTGGTGCTTCTTGAGAAAGATTGCTCTCCAACGTCGATGTCTGCGACCAAATGCCTTGAAGCAATGAGGCCGGCAGAGGTGCTGTTCGTGATGAATGACTAAAAAAGGTGGTCACTTAAGAAGATGCAAATAAATATCTGACTTTCCCTAAAAAAAGATCTTTTCAACGAAACAAACAAAATCTCAGAGAAATAAAGCTCGAACACAATCCAGAATAGTGACGTACATCCTCCCTCTCCCACTCATTTCTTTTGAAAACTAGACACTTTAGAAACAAACTGCCATAGGCAAAAGTAGTTATTCATCAACTTTAAAAAAACCTTGCGTTTCCATTTTAGTGATGAATTTCACGACATATGAAAGCCCCGCAAAAAAGAGTTGAGAACTAAACACGCTTGCAAGAAACGGGCCCCTCCAGCCATATCTCATGGGACTGTTACATTTTATTGATTTTCTTAGTTCCTTTAGAAACGCCTTCAAAGCTATGATTCCTTTAAGCAAAAATTTCAGATAAAGGAAATACAAAGTAATACACTGCTGTTCTACGGCTGGAGGAATAATGAGCAGTACAATGATTATTGGCCAATAGTTCTTGCTAGAAATAGTTTGTCCTAACTGATGTATCGTTGAAAAATCTGTAAGATTTGCTTTATTGACAAGCTAAAATTGTTAATCTGCCTTCAAACGTTGAAGGAACTTGCGGAATATTCAAAAACCGTACCTTTGGAAACAATGAACATGCGGATGATAGATGACGGTCGTGAGTGGAAATGCGACAAAGTACAGTATCACGACGCCGTCAAAAACATACATAAGCACAGTACTCACCGTATCACCCAGAGAATCCTGAAAATCAAACGAATAAAAACCACTTAAACTCAAAGGAATAAAACGGGCTATAATAGACCGAACACTAGCGAACTGACCTGTATAGCTACCATATAGAAGATGATACCACAGTTAATGAATGAACATATACCATAACACACTAAAATGCACAAAACTCTCTGAATGAACGTTCGGGACTTTTTCACTACCATGCAATCATGGGAAATAAAGCTTGAACGAGCAAAATTCAGCACACTCTTACTACATGAATAGCTAAAATTCGAAGTAGTTCTCGTGATGCTGCTGAAAAAAAAAACACTCACAAAACGTCCGATACATCGACTGGCTGACAGTTTTCCTAATGTGACTGGCCAGGTCATGCTGCATTTTCACTATCTGAATTTGTGAGACACTACGAAAAGGAGCCTTCCGGTTAATTGAACGTACTCGCATTAATGGTGCAAAAATTCGGGTTAAAAAACCCGAACAGAAGCTTATCTTGATAACCATTGGCTGAATACCTGATTGAGAGGATTGTATTCTTGTCTACAAATCGTCCAATTTTCCGAAATCGTCAGCGCAAAGAAACACTGAAAGTGATTTTTCAACTTGACACAGTAGTACTAAGTTAACGTTCATTACCTTTCTTTTACTGCCTATTCTTTTTTTCATGGCGAGGTAGTATGCGTAATACAACGACAAGGTGCTGAAATACTAGCTGAACTCGAAAACTCAGGTGGGCTTCGAACCAGCGATTACCCTTACGGGCAGCTCACGTGGCATCCACCACACCAAGGGAGACTCTCACTTTGTTTTCTCTCAGCCGTGTTTTTACTCTATCTGTGCTATTAACAATCATCTGTCATTAGGAATGATCTGGGGACCACAAATCGGCAATGAATCCAGTTAAGCTGAATGTATAGTCGAAATCAAAATGTCCTAAATTTTATTTGCTGCCCATTCTTTTCAATGGCAGGTTTTCAACTTCAGTGCGTTAAATGCCGATTTGTACTCCCCATATCATGACGGGATCCCTGATGACGAGATTGGTGATAACACCGACACAGTTAAAACAGGGATGCGAGACAGGAAATGGAAGGGCATCGGTTGGTTTGGTGGATAGCAGGAGGGTCGCCGTTGAGGTTAATCGGAGATTCGAAGCCCAAATGAGGTCCCGAGATTTGTTCATATCTCAGCACTTTGTAGTACTAAATTAGAAATTCTACTTGTCATTTCTATGTCGAATATGTATCATCTTAAAGTTGGGAGGAAGGAGTTTGGGTTCAAGGTACACGGTGGAATTCCCCTGACCTTGAAAAACTCATTCACCATTTATTATATTTCAGGAAACAAGAAAACCACTAACATAAAGATTTATTGTCCGTTGAACGACAGTTCTTAAACGCCAGATAGTAAAATCAGCCTTAAATCACAAGTACAGTGAAATGGAACTGATGAATACATTAGGAGGCCTAGTACAAAGCCATATTTCAAAACTAGAAGAGACAAACTGTTAGTTCCCAGGATCGACTTTCTCTTAACCTCGGCATTGGAATATGAATGTGTCGTTTTCTTGTTCAGCAATCGCGAAGTTTTTAAACAGCATACATTTACTTCCATAAAAACACAACACAATACAACGCTAGCTGACGTTTCGGCAGTATCGCCTTCTTCAGAGCCTGGAAGGGTATACTGATATACAATCTACTAGGCCAAACGCTTCAATAACACTTACACAAAGACGAAAGACTCTTTGGTAATTACACGATCAACAACTTCTCGAAAAACCCACCGCTTTTTTCGTGACTTCCAATGAGGAAGTTTAGAACAGCTGATTATAGTCCCATGTGGTTGACGACTGCACCATCGCACATCAAAAATCGATGCGAACGTACGGGATGAGGTCGCGTATGACCTCCGGGCATTCGTCCCTGCTATTCATTGTAGGGTTTTTGGTATTGATCCAAAAAGCCTCTAGGAGTTTTCGCGCTGGTGTTTTGGACTCCTGTGCAAGGATATTGACTTTCACTTCAAAATCGTCTCCGCTATGCTTTTGTATCCTACGCGTGCCTAGTGGGGTGCTTCGTCTTAGTTTTCGT